CATTTCTCCATACGGTCTCGTATCCCTTTTTCAGGTCCAGGAAGAACCAGAAATAAGCTTTCCCGCCCGCTTTCTCCCTGGGATGATTTTCCCTCCCGGGAATGGGGGGTCTACGCACCCCCTCTTTTGTCGGAAACCTGCCTGGCCCTCACTAATGCTACGTTCCTGATGTGAGGAAGGGGGGGGGGGTGTACTCATAGTCGTGCATGCCGTAGTCGTTAGACCATTGACCTCGCATCCCTACAAAGCCGGGACGGAGCACTCCGGGTTCTCACCGGACCAGGCTCTCACATCACGAAGCGCGAAGCGCCGTGAGGTATTTGGCGAGTCGCACGAAGGGTGAGCTGCATCCTGCTAAGGGTGTTCGGCTCTTGTGCTTACTTCCTTGCGTACGGATGACAGCTACGTATGACTTAATTTATTTTCTGGTGCTTTTCATTCCAGAGACAGTTATAAGCACTGTGTAACTGCCTCGAGGATGCTTGACCATTTTAACGCAACGTGGTGCGATCATCCCCCTTGCGCGGAGTGAGGGTTCTCGACCCCGCATAACATGATCTACCCGACTACCATTATGGTTACCGCAAAAAAAAATCAGAGGTAAAAAAAAAAGCGGTAACCTGGTTTGCCGAGTTCACGAAGTGAATTGGCTTGTTTTACAACGTCGTTGCCAAGCGACGAAAACCCAATCCCGATGGCAAACACCGAGGGGGGGACTTGTTTTACAACGTCGTTGCCAAGGGACGAAAACCCAACCCCGATGGCAAACACCGGGGGGGGCGGCTTGTTTTACAACGTCGTTGCCAAGCGACGAAAACCCAACCCCGATGGCAAAGAGGGGGGGGAGGGGGCGTTACCGGCGCGATGAGTCAGACGCCGGCAGTGGAGTATCCAACATCCACGAACGACTGAAGCCTTATATCCCCATCTACTGCCCCCGCCCCCCGCTCCCCGCTCCAGCACGCCATCCTTCCGTTCCAGATCGCAGCTACACTTATATCGCTCGCTCTCTCCACCCCAATTCGCCCCTTCCCCCTCCCCCCCAACCCGTGTGGCGCCATCCCCCCATCGCCCCATTCCCTCCTTCCCGCCCCCTTTCCCCTCTTCCCCTCGTCTGTTTATCCATTCCAATCTATTCCAGCCTGAACTGCCTCTCCATCCCCCTTACGCACCGGTTGTCTGGTTGATTTAACCTACCGGTAGCCCAGCCACGCTTCGAATGTGCATTGTCACTTGTTTGTGTTTGTGTTTCTACCTCGCCCTCTCGCTTTCTTTGTTGAGACTGGCTATTGCTTCTGTAAGGTTCGAGCTCCCTCTCGAATGGTTTTCAGACTGGCTGTTACTCCTTTCTGTTTTCCGCTCGCCGCCTTCGTGTTGCGTACTTTTACGCCGCCATTGTCACACGTCGGTCGGTTGCCGAAAGTTTTCGCTCCCCTCCCTGTTTTTCAACGCGACCTTGGTTTGTTCTTAAATGTGGTGCCACACACCCTGTGTGTACCGTTCACGTCCCGCTTATGGTTTTCTTTGCGTTTTGATGGTCCAACGTTCTGCCAGAGCTTCTATTGCAGGCCATGGCCGACGTGTTCCTACTGCTGCGCTATATCCACTTTTATTTTGGTGCAGTTGGCCTTGACTTGAAGTTACGGATGTTTTCGAGCGGCACCCCCTCCATCGTCAGCGCGTCTTCTCGTGACATTCGAACTTTTGTTTTTGTGGCGTCTATATCCTGTCCGTTTCGTTGGCCTTTCTTGCCTGTTTTTCCCCGGAAACCCACTCTTTCCGTGCTTTATTCTCGATTGTGGTCTACCCTTAACGGTTTTCCATGTCGTTCGCATGCCGTTACAGGCTAGGTTTTCGTTTGTGTTCGTTCCTTTCTGTATGTACTCGATCGCATCGTAGCCCCCCTTCCCGTAAGGATTTTGGCTTGCTTGCTTGGGTAGTCGATCTGTTCGTTTGTGCGAAAATCGTTGGTGCTTTCCCCTTCGCGATTTCGATACTTCGTCTTACGGTCTTTTCGGTTCGGATGTTTTAGCTATTCCGCACCCCGCGGTCCTTTTTCCCGACTAGATCCGCCGACTTTGCCGCCCTGGCTCCTTTATTTTCGTCTCCCTTGGTTCCGCTTCTTTTGGTTGGATGACGGAGAGATGTCGTATCTTCGATCCACTCCCCAAACCTCTTGATTGACTAGATGTGCTTCTGTATCTGCACCTACGACCACTCAGGGTGGGCTTGTGTTATAATATTTGGAGGTACACATGTGAGCGTGTTTGATCACATGGTTATTTGGCGTCGTCAGATGCTTTGACGTAACGTCATGCAAGATGTGGGCTTTATGCCGCGGCATGTGCCCTTCTGTTCTGCGTGCGTACGATCAGGTGATCGTGTGTGCTTGGGATCTATCTGTGTGCATTGGCTTGGGAAGGCGTTAATCAAGAGAAGCGAACGACGGAAAGCAACAACAACCTGCATCTGATATCTGTGGTTGGACAAGAGAGCTCCAAAAGCAGAAAAAGGTGATTGATTCTGATGGAAGGAGTCAAATCTCATTACGACTGGCGTCTTAACTGGTCAGCCGGTTAGCGCGCTCGATGCTCGAAAAAAGACAGAACACACTTTGGCACTTACGCGGTCTGTCTATGCATATTATAGTTACCCGTCTTTGAGAGGACATGTTCCCACGTCCAACCTATGGGGTTGTGTGAAGCATGCTACATTATCGTCCGCGGGGCCCCCTCCGTCAAGCATGGTCTCCACAAAGACTATTATGACTAAAATATCCCTCATAGTCTTTGGGCCTCCATCTCACATAGTAAGAAGATCCTCGAACTTGAGCACCATTTGCGAGCTACACTACACCTATGTGCGGGCGTTTTCTGAATAGTCTTAAGTAGTTTCGTACGGCCTTTTACTGCATGTCAAGAGGCTACCCGACCACGTGTGTGGCAGTGCCCACACCGACTACACACGTGCAGTAGGGCGTGTTCTCGAGTGAAATTAAGTGAAGCCGTGGAACGGTGTTTTTGGGGTCAAGTTAGACTTGCTCGCCCGACAGCGTTGTTTTGTTAGCAGTGGCATGATCCTTGGGCGCTCAGCTATCGCCGCCCGTTGCCATTTTGGCCCCCTGGCGGTCATTGCGTCGAGGTAGGTATCAAGCAACTCGGCACTGACAAGCAAAGCCACTTAGGCTTGTCCGAGAAAATGTATTTCGTTTGGAAAAAAAAAAAAAAAACGCATTTAGCCGAATCACCTCACGGTGGTGGTGGTTACACAAGTGACTAGGAGCCAGCCCCATCAAGCTGATGGTGTCATACTGTGCACTCCCCGTTTTTTCATAAAAACACAACAAAAAATCCCAAAAAGACTCGAAACTCGCCCACAGCGAGAGCCGAAACGGCGAGCTGAATACCGACTGTTTGTTGTGCCGGGGTTCATTTGTTCCACGAGCACTCCAGTGGGGCGAAGAAGCACAAGAAGCCTCTAGGCGACAAAAAGAAACAATATCTAAATGGGTGCAAAATTTCACAAGGAGGTAGGTCCTGCATACACGGAGCCACAAAAAACGAGACAAGCGAGTGCTATTAAAGACAGACCTGAAGGCGTGTGCGGACCCTCCTTCACCAACAAGGCGTTTTTCATGCCAGTCCAAACGAACAAAACAACGGCAAAATGCATATTTAGGCATGGCTCGCAAGTTTCGCAACCCCTACGCATGTGCATAACAGAACAAAAAAAGATGAAACACAAAAGCTGCCAGTCTTTGAAAACAACTTGCCTGCTTCCCCACCTCTGCCTGGTATGTTCTGCGCGATAGCAACCGGACGTAAAGCATGTCCAACAAAAAGCAAAAGCAGGGTGTTTCACACACAGCGCCGCAAGTCGGAAGAAAAAAAAAGCCCCTGCGATCAAGAAGATACAAAAACAAACAATAAACGTGGGCACGAAAACACAAAATGCCTACCTAATGAGTGAGTCAGTAAAAAGCAAAAATAAAACGCGCCATACACGACCAAGAAGAACAAAAAAAACAGACAATCCACAAAAGTAAGCTGCCTAAAGCAACGTGTCAGAGAAAAAAAAACACGCGCCATGCGATAGAGAAGGCCCAAGAAAAAAACAACGCCGACACCAAGAAAACGCAACGCCTAGTAAGTCAGAAAAAAACGAATACTTCCAAGTCGGCCCATTGTTAAAGCTTGTATCGCTCGGAGCCCTCCTGTACAAACGCCTTGTGCTCCAATCTGTTCCTGATCCCGGGCATCCACGTGTTGCGGATGATCTTGTTGTCGCTAAAGGGGATGAAGCACAGGGGAATGTTGATCAAGCACGCCAGCGGTATCTTGAGGGGCAAAAACCCGGTGCTGTACCTGGTGCACGCGCACGACAAAAACGAAACAAGCCCATGAATCCATCGAGGAGGGGGGGGGGGGGGGGGGAGCGGTTGCACTGATTCAGTTGTGGGGTGTTCCGAGGAGGTTTTGCTGAATAGAAGAAAGGGCCAACCTGGACAAGAGAGGAAGAAAACCCGACATTTACGCGCGGAGGTGTTACCGGTTTTGGAAATGCACGTACGTAGCTTGACAGCAGGGCTCCTCCCTCCGAGGGAAAAAGAACATCCGGGCAAAAACAAGGAAGAAACCAAAAGGTGTAGTGGCACACCCCGCGTGGGGCAAAACGATTGATTCCTACACCGACGGGCATCAAATAGCAGCGTGTGCTGTTTCGTCCCAAGATGTGAACGACAGGCGGCAAGCCCAAGCAGGGAGAACGACACACACGCAGACGCACCAAGGACATGATGGCCTTTAGAAGCGTTTCCGTTTTCCGTCGCACTGAGACTGATTTTTTTACATTGGTCAGCAGGTTAGCGCGCTCGGCGCTGAGCATGAATACACGCACACGCACAGCAGTGTTTCCGTTTTTCGTTCCGCCCAAGCCCGGCGCATTCCTGTTGTCTCCGACTGGGTGCGACTGACGCAAAAAAACATAAAGTGCGTACACACATGAACTCAAAAAAGGCTGACGTCTTGCCGTTGATTGCTCAGCCGATTGGCGCGGTCGGTGTCAAATAAAGATACACACACGCACACCACGTGACACCCTGCTGCCTCGTCACGCAACCAGTGCCCTCTGCGGAAAGCTACCCTGACCCTGACCATATCACAGCCCCGCTCTCAAAAAGGACGAAACGCCGGCTCGCGCACAGCTTCATCCCATAAAAAGTAAATCCTGCCTATCCCTCGCCGCAAAGAAGTACGCGAGGCAGTCCTGCCCGCATCCCCTGCCCTAGTTGGCGCTTAGCCCCCTCCCCCCCCGCCCCCCGCCCCCCGCCCCCTCCGCTCTCTCTGTCTCTCTCTTTCTCTACCACTCTCTCTCTCTATCTGTGCCCCCCCCTACTGTATCTCTCTCTCTCACCCGTGGGCCGCCACCTCCGACCCCTCCCCGCCGCCTTCCGGCTTGTACACCTTCAGCTCCACGATATCCAACCACCTCGCCTGTACCGGTGGCAAAAAAAAAAAGAACGACAACGACGCCGATCGTAAAATCTTGGACTTGAGGAGCGTGTTGAGCCAGCGCTGCTGTCGTCGGGTACAAAGAGGATCGCGACTACACGCAGTCTCCAACAATGTTTTCGGGAGGTTGAATGGTTGGTTGCGGCACTTTCTTGAGCATGAAAAGGTGAAGGCGGCTTCGCCTCGCGATAAAGAAGGCGGTCCTTCGAACCGCTGTTGCTTCACAGATCCTGCACTTGGAAACATTGTCCAGTCTCTTCAGGTAGTTTTTCTGTTACTGCGGAACCCGTTCGCGTCGGTTGAACCGATACAGATGTTAGAAGGTACTCAGCAGATTTCGGAACGGTTTTTAATGTCAAGATGACGACGACGACAACAACAACAACAACAGCTGCTTCGGTTTCGTTCTAATTTCACTTTTCACTTGTCGACAAACACCGGGTCGACCACGGACAACCACACACACACACATGAACCGGAACAAAAAAAAAAAAAATCCTTAACTCGCCTTCGACACGCAGATCATCTTCGCGTACCCCACCCCCTCCTCCGCGCAGTAGCGCAGCGACGCGAGCTGGAACACCATCTGCCCGTCCCCTATCCCCTCCGACGACTCCGCAGCTATCGCCACGTTCTCGATCGCTCGTCCCATGTCTCGCACGCACACCTCCGGGTCCGCCGTCGCTACGCTCCACGTCTCCCACCAGTTGTGGGGGTAGCGGAGCCCCGGTAGCCACATCGCTGGCTTGAGAAATTTCTGAAGTGAGTGAGGTGGCGGGTAGGTGGGGGGTCCCGGGGACAGGAAAAAGTGGCTGCGTTGGTGTAGCCCGAATATCAGCTGGCAAAACGGCAAAAAAAAAAAAGTTCATTATCGAGATAGATGTAGGGCTTTCACTCCACCCGGAGCAGAAATATTACAGGAGTGCCATTTTTTCGGCACCCCTATCCCCCAATATATGACGGTGCCGAAAATGGCGGAATTGGAACGGTCTCGACGAGAGCTTTCGGAAAAAGTATCGTTTGATGTTTGGCATCCTCTTCTCTCGTCGTGGAGCGATCAATATGTCAAGTCGGTGTTTTGAGCACGGAAGAAAGAGGTGGTGCAAGATGCAGCGGCGACACCGCACGGAATGAATGACGGGCGAGGCGCGTGGAGGTTTGGTTGTTCGACGCCACGCACCTGAATGTGAACCTGGAGCTTAACGTAGCCTTGAAGCCGGATTGGTTTGAGGTCCTTTTTCTTCCTGTGTGTACACGATAGCGGGGGAGAGGGGGGGGGTGAGGTGGTGAACAAAACACAGAAGCAGTTTGGAATAGTTTGCGGAAGGGGGGGGGGGAGTAATCGTGAGGAGCGGTGTACAGCGTAGTACAGTCCTCCCTCCCCGCGCCCCGCTGCAACTTTTCGCATGCACAACGCAATGCTGCTCTGCCGCTGACTTCAACAGCAGTTGTATCGAGGCTTCTACAGCGGTATGGCAGATACTACGCCCACATATATTTACTACATTCTGTTGATTTGTGGTTGCTGTTTTCATATCATATGAACCGGTCTCTGCGCAGTACCTTCAACATCCGGAATGGTCCGAATGAAGCGAGCGGACGGTTTCCGTGGGCACAGGCCAACTTACACCCCCGGAGGGTACAACGACGAAAATAAAAGACAAAATTGTAGGGTTGGGTACTGAACCAGTACGTACTGCCAGTGCATATGCACTGGCAGTGCATATGCACTGGCTGCGTCAGCAGCCAGTACTCCAGTACATTCCAATATTCGCAGATTTCCTCAATAATAGGCCTCAAGAACCAGCGGCCCCGACCACCGTCGAGCTGCTCGTCCTTCTGCGCCACTCCTGGAAGACAGTCGAGGAATGGGAACAATCGAACAACCCCGCGGCCGCGAAGAGGGGCTAGGGTAGTGGCTGTCTTTGATGGGGAGGATTTTGTGTGGTTCTCTGCTGTAGGGCGCTAGCGGCAGTGATTTGTGCGCAGTGTAGGTTTCGGTTGGGTAGCTTTGGTGCTGTTCTTATCTTCTGCATTCTAGCAAGCTGGTGGTTCATTGTTGCTCACCTCCTGTCGTATCTATAATAGCTAGACTAGTAGAAGACTAGTCGTTTCCCGTTTCCTGGTTAGCTTTTTGCTTTTTAGCTCTTAGCTGGTTTCTGGGTATAATACGTTCAGGGCTGCCGTGTCATTTTGTCCTTCGTAGAGTCCTTCGTGTTTCTGTGGGAGAGGGGCTGCAGAGTCCAGTATACGATGTGTTGGGAGTAGTATTTCAATATTTCTAAATATTTCCTTATGTCGAAAACCAACAAATTCAGTCGTTGAACTCGAAATTTCTATCGTTTTCCCCGCGATAGTGCCTCTGTCAGATGGGCCAAAATCACTCATTTTTTAGGCTCTAGTGAAGCCAAATCGCGTAAAAAAGCGCGCCGCGACCGCGCGGCTTCGCCGCGTCGCCGCGCCACCAGTGTACTGATCGGATCCAGTTTACTGGCTGCGTCAGCAGCCAGTATACTTTGTACTGGCGCTGCGCGCCAGTACCCAACCCTACAAAATTGGGAAAGGACCCAGACAAAAAAAGCACGAGAAAAGAACGAAAAACATGAGACCCCCGATGAGAAGGTAAGAGAACTTGAGCGGGGTTTAACCCCAACGGGAGGACGGGGTTAACCCCGATGGCTCATGTAAGTGCCCTTACCTTACCATATGGGTACCTCTGCTCTGTATACCACGAGAGGCGGAGAGAGGGCGCCCCCCCCCCCTAGACCGACTTCCAAAGCTCGATTGCTCCACGACCAAGATTGTCTATACCGTACCGTGGTATTCCGCAAGAGCCGAAGATATGGCACACACCCCTAGACGACTTTGAAAGCTCGACTGCTCCACTATTACCGTAGGTGACACAAGATACCACACCCCCTGGACCGATTTTCAACGTTCGGCTACTTCCACCGACGAAGAGGGTGTGCCAAAAGTCAAATGGAACGTTTTCGGGAAGATCTGGACGAGACAGACGGTTGCAACGCCGCCATTTTCGGCGCCGCCACTCTCGAGCTTTGAAAATCGGTCAAGGGGGTTGCGGTATCTTGTGTCACGTACGGTATACCAAGCTTGTCGCAACACCAAGGTCCGTCTCTACATTACATAAGCAGGTTGTGCCTGACCAATAATAGAGAATTGACCGGGACTATACCGGGCACCGGCACAATTCAAAGTGCAGAATGACTTGGTATATGTATTTCAGTGTTTGTCCGCCGAAAACACCGTAACTATTCCGGCAACCGGCGCTATTCAACCGGAACTAATGTCACAGGGGTCTCGACTTGAATGCATAGCTATAGTAATCGAGACGGGGCAAGTGCCAAAAAAAAAAAAAAAGAGCTCTTCTCTGCCTGATGCTACCCAGAGAGTCAGCAAGTGTACCGCATGAAGAAGGAACTAAAAAAAAACTGCAATGTTTGCGTCTGAGCTATCTCGTTGTGTCTAAACAAATATGCATGCGCGGAGACGTGAAGGCGTCAACCACTGCCCCCAGGCATCAGACTGTGTGCTGCAGGTAGGTGGCAGGAAAGAACGGAAGAGCGAAAGAGACACATCGGAGACACGGAAAAAAGGGGGGTTGGACTCAGGAACAGAGTCACACGGAGGAGGATCACCCGGCTCTGTACGCAAGGGTGCAACCGACATAAGTCTGCAGGGAGCTCTGGGTGCAACAAATGGCACGCCGTCGTGCTGTCTCATCTCTTGGTGGGAGACAGGCCCTCCTCGTGTAGCAGCTACAGACGGCACACGTCAGGGTTAGTCACGGCATCCTTTCGGTTGGCACTTTCGTGCAAGATGGGAAAGGCGAAACGGCTTGTCACTAACTACGCTGACTGCAACCCACCAAGATTCGGTGCCGTCGTTTTTTCCTTCCATGTTTGTGCAGAGCGTTGGAGCACACACTACTGCAGCCAAGGACCAGCGCGAGAGGTAGAGGGCTGTGGATGCCAATGGAAGCCAGTCACCACGTCCAGATTGCGTCACAGAGGGGGGCTCCGTGCATCAATGTCTCTGGAAAATGCGGGGCAACGGAACAAGGGGGCGGGAAATCTTGACAGTCCCCCGCCACCTCCGTCCTTGCCGGCTGGTAAACAGCGTACAGCGCACACGGCATACCATTACGGCATGCTGGGCTCGATGGGGAGGTTCGGCACGCTGGGAGCGGGGCTGGCGGCCTTCGTGCTTGGGAATGGCGTAATCGCGTTCTCCCCTTCCTACATTCCTGGGCATTCCGGCCCTGGTAGGTGGCGCGTTGGATGGCGTGTTGCTTGCATGACGTGGGTTTGGCTGATGATGGCGTACTTCGTACATACTAGCTTCGCACAGCAACGGCAGATTCCTTTCTGTCGGTATGCTCCGCGCGCACAGCCAAACATTAGGCATCATCGTCGTTGTCTCTGTAGACATCGGCAGGCCTCAGCGAGAGGCCAGCTAGGTATTGTAGATGGATTTGATTTGCCCATTTTTTTATTCGACCGCTCTTTAGAGAGAGCGAGTGCTTATATGTGCTCATGTGCACATGTTTCACGGAGAGGGGCTTACGCTGCGATGCTGTTCCATCTCCGGCGATTGCCCAAGAACTGGAAACTCGCTACAACGGCGGTGTGATGGTTCAGAGGAATTGGTGCGATCCAGCAAACCAACAATACTACAGACCGCGTCTACATGTCGCAGTTACAGAACGGGGCGGAAACGTCAAAAGGGCCACACCCTCTACAGCTACAACTACAACACTTCGTAATAACTAAGTTAGTTGTTTGCCAGACAACTACTGTACCGGCTATTGAAGATGTTCGTAAATGACTAGTTACGCACGATCCCGGACGAGTAGTCGCTGCTGGCGACTAAATAGTTGCGTACGCTCCTGGAAGAGTAGTCTTCTGCAGGCGACTAGTTACGCACGAGTCTGGAAAGTTAGTCGTCTGCAGGCCACTAGTTACGCACGATGCCGGAAGAGTAGTCGTCTGCAGGCCACTAGTTGCGTACGATTCTCGAAGAATATTTCTCTGGCAAAGAACTACCAACTAACTTAGTTGCACAGGGTGTGCATTCACCGCTGATGGATGTGTTTGTCAACGAAACAATTTCGTATCACTGCGGACCCGTCCGGTACAGGTCCGACGGCACGCTCCCCGCTGTCCTCAAGGAGGTGCGGCAGCAGGAGCTCCGCAAAAACACGGCCGTCAGCATCAACCGCAAGGGTCGACTTCGGTGGGGTGGACCATGACCACCGGCCTGAAGGACGCAAGGTGCGCGTGTTTCACTACAGCAGTCTCGTGTTTGAGAACAGCGCTGCCAACACGGACCAGTTCCGCCCTCGTGTATTTGTTGCCTCGCTTCATGGATGGGGTTGACTCCATGGAGTCACGCCCCAACGCGCTGGGAAGAGTTGACAGCGATGCCGCGGTAGGTATGAGCTCGCCCTCCACTTCTGCGGTTTTCCAGTCGGCCAAACACAAGAGGAACGGTTTCAAGCCAAAGACGTAAACTTCCAAGAGATTGGCGCTAATGCAGCAGTGGGAGGGGGGTTAAGCATGCCAGATTGTCGTTGCACCATCACGGTGGGCACCTCTGCTGCTGTTGTTGTTCGCTCTGCCAATCGCATCCATACAATACTGCTGTCGCCGCGTCCTCTACCGAGTTAGTCGTAGTCGTGGTGTGTGCGTGAGTGTGTGCATGTGGGTGGGTGTTTCGTCCCAGCTACTCTGGGCGCCGGTCCACACCCTTTCGCTACGCGCTTAACGCCACCAGCCGAGGGTGCGTGAGGTTCAAAGCTTCTTGCCTAGAAAGCTGCTGCTGCTGCTGGTGTGAGCGAACGCTGGCCGATCGGGTTGCTCAGCCCCGTCAGTCATCCCGTGCCCTCTTTCGTCCGCTCCTTTGCTGGCAGAGGCGGTTTCAGTTGCGCGCCGCGTCGGCAGCGGTTCCCCCGGAGGCGGCACCAAGCGGGGCGGCGGGCGACGGAGCGGAAGCGGATAAGTCGGTGATCGGCGCCGTGTACAGGTTCACGCGGCCGCACACGATCAAAGGTGGGGGTAGTGCATCGTCTCGGTAACCCTTCTGCGGTGCACACCCCCTCGAAGGACTAGGACTGACATTCCCGCGTACCTGCATGGTTAGCCCGTCGCCAACGAAAGCGGTTTCTTGTAGGTCCCTTGGCGCTTTTGCTCAGCGGCCTTAAAACATTCGAACTCGCGTTCGAGCTGCATAGCTGCACAAAATTGTTGCGCTTCGAATTCGTGCCACAGATAGGTAGTTTCGTGACAGCAAGTTTGCACATCAGGTAGGAAGCCTCTCTCACGCCTCTCTCAAGCCTCTCTCAAGCCCAGTTTCCTCTAAGGGTCCCTGTTAGGTATTTTCCATCCCTGTCGGGGGGGGGGGGGAGTCTCGTACGCGAAGCTCTTTGTCCCCTCCCCGCTGGCGAGAACTTTGGGGGAGGAATAGGTTACAAGTCGCTACGGTTTACGCCCCCATGTGGCTGTTAGATATGCTGGCGTTCCTGATGCACCTTGTGTGCGTAGGTGAGGCTTTTCCTTGCGCGAACGCTCGAAATTACGTGATTCGGGGGGGGGAGGTTGCATCGGGAACTTTGTCGCCTGGTGCGTGTTTCGCCCAGGCGCTCGTTCATGACTCTGAGGCGTTATCCAATTATACGCGATAGCGGTGCGTGATGTGCTCTCTCTCTCTCTCTCTCTCTCTCTCTCTCTCTCTCTCTCTCTCTCTCTCTTTTGTCTTGTGGTGCGTTGTTTCAACGGTGGTTGTGATTATTTTTGTTTTATTTTCGCAGGGACGATTCTCGCTTCGGTGACGGGCGTGGCGAGAGCTCTCATCGAATCCCCTAACGCGATCAGGTGAAAAAATGTCTCGAAACAAGAGAGTTTTACAGCTTTTTATTTTGCCCTTCATGGGTGTGAAGATTTGACCCAGAAACGGACGCATCTGGTCGTGCAGAAAGGAGGAAAGCGTGACTCACGGACAAACCTCCGGGTGCAAGGAGGGTCCTCCAAGACGCCCGCCACGCATACCGTAGGTTCCAAAAGCTACCAAGCTCCCTGGATCAGTTAATCCCGGGACGAAGAAGTGTACCTTTGCTTCCTGAAGGGAACTCGAGCACTCCACGACGACCAGGATGAAAAAAATCAAACCGTATCTTTTCGGATAGATCTCGATGGCCCGCTTCCAACGCCGCCAGTTTCGGCGCCGTCTGTGTTGCTGCTGTGGAGTACTCGGGCTTTGGAAGTCGGTCCAGGGGTTGTGGTGTGTTTTGCAGCCTATACGGCCGTAGCTGGGCGACTGCAAAACATCTGCGGCGCCATGCCTGATGACCAGTCCGGAGGACACGCACAAGTCGCCATCATCATCATCGCCATCATCATCGGGCTTGCTTTTTCTCTGCCGTTGCCTGTACTCCCTACCCCATTGTGGAAGCTGCTGTCCTGCTGGCAGCCGTCGCTAACCGGTGCCGATGGCTTGCTAGCAGGAGTACCCGGCCTCGATAGAGACGGATGCTGTTTTCGTGATCGAAGAACCGTTCGCGAACTATAAACCAGACGCCGTTCGTTTCGTCCATATAGGCCATGTCTCCGCGGAAGCTTCCCGTCTTGTTCGAAGCCGTCGAGCAGCCAAGCAGCGTACATGCCCTTCTCGCTCCGCTTGGCGCGATTTGGCATGCTGTTCTGTCATCTCCATCCTGCCTCGCGCTGACTCTCTGCTGCCCCCTCCCCCGCCGCGCCCCCCGTGACTGATAGCTTGGACCTGGTGCCGAAGGCTGTGCTCGGGTTGCTCTCGCTCCTCCTTGGCAACGCGTTCATCGTCGGCATCAACCAGATCTACGACGTAGACATTGACAAGGCAAGTTGACTACGGCGTAGATATCGGTAAGGCAAGTTGAAGATTGGAGATCTACGACGGAGACGTCGGTCGATAAGGCACGTTGGTTATAAGAGATCTACGACGTATGACATCGACCAGGGTAGTTGAAGAAGGGGAGATCTACGACGTAGACATGGATGAGGCAGTTTGAACAAGTGAAAGTGAAACAAAGGACCGAAAGAAAGCGTAGCGTCGTGTGCGTCATGTACGCGAGTTCCTGCCTGTCGGCGACCCTGTTTTTCTGTCTCCGGCGACAAGGGATTCAGTTGATCACCTCGTTAAGAACCTTCTGGCCGAAGGATAAGGTTGTGATTTCGAATCTCTCCGGAGTGAAAAGCTGGCATTTTTTGACGCGCAAAATTGCGTGGTCGTGAGTGAGGACATACAACGAGAAGGGAAGGGGCTGTTAAAGCTCCTTCTCATGAGCACCCGATAATTCCTACCCCCCCCCCCCGTTCCTGAGCCCGGCGTATCGCTCTTTCCCGGCATTGCAAGGATGCGAGGTCAATGACCCCTGACGACTACGGCATGCGTTTACACGAGTACACCCGGCGCCCTTCCCTATCGCCCAGTTGTAGGGATGCGAGGTCAATGTCCTAACCGCTAAGGCATGCAAAACGCGAGTACCCCCCCCCCCCCCCCCCCCCGGGGTTGGCCACGGGAATGGGGTTTCCTCCCTTGGGAACCAAATTGTTGAAACTGCCCCCCCCCCCCGGGGTTTCCATCCGGGGCCGGGTTTCCCCCCCTGG